GGGGGGGGGGGGGGGTAGGAGGTGTTGGCCTGTAAGCAAAAGCCATGAAAGACAGCTCCACGTCGCTGAAATGAGAATGCTCAGATGGGCTTGCAGTTCAACACGGCTGGATCTGATCAGAAAGAGGAGGTCAGGGCGGCTATGCAAATAGCCCCAATCCAGCTGAAGATGGGGGAGCAGCGCCTGCGATGGTTCGGGCATGTACTGGGAAGACCACAGAATCACTCGATAAGGTAGGCAATGAATTCCGAAACTCAGGGTAAGCGATTGCAAAGAGCTACAAAGAAGTGATGGCGAAACGTGATCAAAAAAGAAGCTGAAGCTAAAGTAACGGCTGAAGATGCCGTAGATAGAAAGTAGTGGATACGGTTGACAAGAATAGCATACCCTGCGACGGCGTGGGTTTAACGCTAGGGAGGAGGAAGGAAAGAAATCCCATCAGTAGAAGTTTCATGACTGTATGACACGACGACATGACAAACTATTAGGTTGATGCATAACTAGTGCGGATTTTCTCCAACAAATTCTACTCAAAGAAACGATAGAAATAATTAGCAAAGACATGTTCAAATAATTACTTTGGAACTTATCCACCATCCACGACAAGCACTGCTTCCTATTTGCTAGGCTGTCGGATTCCACTGACGAAGACGTTTCGGTTCTTGGAGGCATCCACGCCTTGACGTCGTGACGTCGGCCATCAAGCCAATCGCTTCGTCGAAAGTTGTGTTCGTTAATCAATTTTTCAAAGGGCGATTGACGTGACAATCCATAGGTGTATCTATTGGTGAATAGGGTGACCGCAGAAGCAGATTCCATTCCTTGTTCGGCTTTGGCTGACTTTTACATCGCCGAGAAGTTCGCTGCGATAACGTTATGAGTGGACCGCCTTCCAAAATTCCTCGAAGTAATAGAGCATAATGTGGCGTATATGAGATAGACTTTCTGGACATTTCTGTTAAGGAAAGCGAGAAGATTATTTCTACAGAAATCCCGAAATCAAAAGTTTAATTTTATCGAGAGAAAAGAAGCCACGAAAAAATCCGCAATAATTATGCATCAACCTAATAGTGGCGCAGAAAGAGTGTTTAAAACTTTATGATAGGTAATATGTACTCTCAAGTAGGCGGGGCCTTAATACAAAATCCTTCAGCATCAGCGATCCCTTAAAAATTTCAAAGCCTAAAAAAGTAGAAGAAATTACAACTTACTGTAGTAAGCCCGCTTCACTCAATTATAAGGAATTCGGAGGCAATGGAATATACAGTGTGGAGGTGTCGCCAATGCAACGGTTTGTAAGAATCAATGGTTGCATATGACAGGTTACTAACAGTGCCGTCTAGCCGTAGTGTTCGAGCTTCAAACTCTGAGGGAATTGAAGGGATGTGGTGGGAACATAGCTAAAAAAGTGAGCATTCAATAGCAGTCAACCAATTTCATCAATGTTGATTTGTACTGTTGTATAAGAGCTCTTCATAGCCCATTTTTACGAGCCGAAAAAAAGGGGGAATGACCGTGTTTAGTAATGCATTTCGACTTCAATACATGAGGAACCTCTGGTGTTTGCTCTCTACTCGATCCATTTAAACACCTGCGTTTATGGGGAAGGGGGGAAGGAGAGTGTTTCTAGTACTTTTCTTCGAGTTTCACATTTGCCTAGGTGAACAGATAGGGCTAAAACGAATGCAGATATTTAGCAATGGACAATTAATGGAATTATCTGCTTTTGATAGATAACTCATGACGTTAACAGTTCCATTAGAAGAGCGAGGAAACAGTTTCGAATTGTTCAATCGAATGAATACATTCTTAGAAAAGGAAATTTGATAGCCATCGATTGTCGATGGAAACTGTCCATTTCTGGGAGAAGGGCCCTTGCAGAAGCCCACTTTGAGTAATCTTGGAATAATTCGTTTTTTCGGATTCCTTTATCGCTCTGCATGGTATCGTGCTCAGCTTAATTGGTTAGTAACTTTATGAAAAAATGTGAAGCAATGCATACACCTTTATACAGTTGAGAAACAGTTTTAGCAGCAGCAAAGTAATGGATAAAAAGACATATTTAGTTCGAAATAATACAGTAAGCTTGCTAACACAGCCCGATGACTCTCATAGGCGACCCACCCATGTTCTTAACAAAAAATTTTCCATTCCTTCGTGTACGCATACGATTTTCTGATTGTTTGGCGCTTTTCAGTTCAGTGGGTATAGTTGCTAAATCACGAATTCGTCTAAACCTGTATTGTTATAATTGACAACCGTCGCCAACATCGGTGCTGGTACTATGAACGCTCAATGCGACTGTAAAGTTTTATAATTTTGTCGTGCTGCTCAATCTTGAAACTTGCCTTTATGGTTTGGCATCAGTGACGAATTACTAAGCACCGATGGGGCGACGCATTTAAAACCGTCTCAGGCTGTCAACACTCATCCCCTAGGATTAAGCAACTGTATGTGATGTGGCCGTATGCCGTATTTTGATGCCATATTTCTAGGTGATGTTGGTGTGTTCGCTCCGCTGCTTCTAAACTATTTCACGCTAAAACCTGGGCAGGCGACATTTCTCGGACCAAATCAGCCACATGCATATTTGTCCGGAGGTTGGTGTTCGATTTGCTAACCATTGATTTGACGGGCTTCATTTTCATAGTGAATGAGATCAGTCTTCAAATTTGTACTTGTACTGAATATGACTAGCTTTATAAGGTTGCGGCCTAACCCCCCTCCTCTCTCTCTCTCGGCTATACGTGTCTGCTTCGTCATGTTAATGCGTAATATATTTTTTGAAAGTCCAATTTTGCCAATGAGGTTGATCTATTGTGTTCAGCACTTCTTTAATCGGCAATTCTAATTGTAAGGGGAGGTTTCAGTTGTTAGGTTATCGCCACTATCAATGCCAGAACAAGCGTGGTATCACCATTGAAACTTTCAAAGTCTTTTGGTCGTAATCAGTCATTTCTGATGGATGGGCCGCATTCGACTTCAATTCGGTATCGTAGAGGCATATTGAATGGTTGTGTGGCCCAACAATGAATTGCGGTGGCCAGCCGATGCTTTTATCCTCCAGATGAGTCTGATACCAATTAACAGACCCCGAAGAGAGTGAACTCTTAGTTGGCTTAGGCCGATATCGATCTGGAATTTGATTCCATGACCATGTGTGTGTGGTAGTGCGCTACTTGCCACTTCACTACCTCAGCCCTTTTAGCATTTACACATCCTTTATCTTCATCTGTTCTAATCTAATTTGGCCATCCAGCTGCTATCTTTCCCGAATCACCTTAATAGATCTGCAAAAGGAAAGGTTTTGCCTTTGCTATACATTAAATGAGCGGTTTCAGATTGTATTGAATGCATGGCGTGTTCTGACAATACGATTCGAGCCGGCTTGACGCCAAAATTCAAAGATATTGAGACACTATGTTCCAATTTGACGTACGTGATGAGTGGGCCGCCTATATTCCCTCACAAGGAGCTAGCAAGTGGTGTCACGCTCTACGCTCCTCCAGTACCGGAATTTGCCGTACAAGCCGTTGGGGTAGTTTTCCAGTTCTTTTCAATGTTTTTTTTTTAAAGTTAAAACTGGTGTGAAAAAGAACTTCAATTCGATTGCCTTCGACGGCAACGTCTTTCTTAGGGCACTGTCTTTTTTTCTGATCTTCATTTTTCCTACGTTAGTCAAAAGGGTCGTTGGTCGTCGATCCTGCACATCGTTGCTCTATCGGTTGTTTTTTCACCCTTAAACTTTGAAAAGAACTCTCTGCCCTCAAGCCTTAAGGGCATTGTCACGAAGAAAAAGGGTCTGGAAATGGTACAACCACGGCTTAAGGCTCAGTAGCTCTCTCTCGGTGAGACTGTTCTTTCATTTATTGCTCTACGATCCTTCAGGAGGGGCGCTTAGTTAAGTTGATTATCCCTGAAACATGTGCCATGAGTCATATTTTATAGCAACATCTCGCTTCTTCGCCAGCTTGCTGATACTTGGGAAAGGTTGGGAAGAACATACATATATTTTTCTCTAGCCTACTCTATGCGTTTATAAGAATCTATCGAATTTCTCATCTTACCGAAAGAAAAAAAAAACGTAGAGATTCTCACGGACATTACGAGTAATCTGGCTGAGTCAGGGAATCAAAGTCAGGAAACGACATTCTCGTTTAGTTCTTGAAAGCATGGCGAACTCTCAATTTGAGCCAAATCGAGCACTACCACGACATGTGACTACTTTTAAATGTTTACTTCGTCAAGATCCAGCCCAAGCGATACGGTAATCACAAAAGGCGAGAGCAAGGGGGGTCTCGTTAGTGTAAAAGTTAAAGAGCACGCTACCCGGATACCACAAGTATGAGTTTAAGTTACACCCTAGGCCGAACTTTTGTTTATAACTCGCCAATCCTGTAAGTTTTCGGATCGCATACTGCGGTCAAATAACAGCAGCCAACAAAAAATCAAATCAAAGCAGGGTACAGTATTTTGTTTTTCGCTACAGCAGGGATCACGATTTCGAAATGTATAATAGTAGCTCTTTAGTGCGAAAAATGAATTTTTACGCCAAGGGAGGAATTCTTTGAATAGTTTCTCGCACGCAGTCGGAAATTCGTCCAAAATTTGGTCTATGAATTCATTAGAAATGAGTCGAAAATCTCTCAGTCGCATACTACCTTTTTAGTACTACAGTATCGCTCAAAAGTATTTGGCCAATGCATCTTTCATAGTCCACGACCAGTCGCGCGATCGGTCGCGGACCTATCTCGCGAGCGACTGGTCGCTCGACTGATCGCGCCACTGGTCGCTCGATCGGTCGAGGAGGCCGCGCTAGTTATGGGTGCCGCCGTGGACGATCCCGAGCAGATCGCGCGATCAGTCGAGCGA